TGGAGAGGGTGGTTGGTGCGCTGGTGTGGTTTTCTTCCTCCTTCTATCAAATAGATATCGTCATTATCTCTCCTTCTTCTTTTCTTTGTATGTTACTTTTTACTAACACCTGTTATATTCGGCACTTATATGGCCTATTTGTGTTATAAGTCCGGCAAAATTCTTATTAAGACTGAAATCTGTAAGGTTTCTGACAGGTAACTGTTTTATTGTTTGTTTCCATAACAACATTGCCTACGGCCGGGACCATCCAAAATAGTATTTTTTCAAGGAAAAACATCTCTACCATCATACACAAATCAAAAACACGAATTTACATATTTCATAAAAATGTATGCTGTTGAATGCTTTTTAAATAATCTATCAGGAAAAGAAAACATAATAATCAAAACACGAGATTAACACAAAGTTATGCTTCCTTTCCTTGTGCCCCAAAACAGCATGGTTTTTTTTTTTTTTTTTTACATCAGATCATCGAAAGACCAAAATGCGAATCCCCAATGAGTGGAAAAGGAACTTTGGGTACAAATATGTATGAAAATAGATACACTTGTGATTATTTTATCTTTTTTTCTCCTATTTAATCAGAGGAAGGGCTCTGGATAAAACTGGGATAATTTGGATATATTTCATGTTCTCAAAAACAAATGGTTAAAATTTGTCAAAACTGTCTACGTTTAGAGTATTAGGTCCAGCTTGCCAGTATTTGTGAAACGCGAGGAAACAAGAAGAGATATTTGTTCCTAGTAACAAGAAACCGTTAGTGGTTGGATGAGACATTTCTAGAATTATATTTTTTTTTTTAAAGTAAAGAAATATGAATAACGGGGAGAAAAAATTGGGGAAAGATCGGTGAAGCCCCGTTTTTTTCAGACATCAAACATATTTAGTTGGAACAAAAGGTCGCCAAAACGTATTATATCAACCTCAGTGCAAAACTTTAATAAATAATTATAATACTTTCTGAGAAAAGTTTAAGACACTGGCAACATGCATTGGGCCACTTGGGATATTTCACGCTTTCTCTATCAATACGCATGAAGTGATAGTGTAACTATTCCAAAACATAGAGGGTTGTGAGTTCGATTCTCAGCGGCGCCGTGGTGGTCTCAGGAAATAGTCACAGTGTTCAACAGAAGTTTCGCGTGTGACGCAATGACGTGTGACGTAAAAACGTGTGACGTTGGTGTTTGTATGTAGTATAGGGTTTTACGGCGTTCGCAACTGCTAAGGTCATATGAGCGCGCAAAAACACAAGTTGTTTACTTTTCGCAAAAGTTCACTCCACGATTTGTTAACTAATGGACGTTGGTGAAGGCCTAACACCCACTGTGTCATTTAGT